TCGTGAGGCCCTCAGTCGTATCCTGCGTGGCCTCCGCCCCTCCCATAAGTGCCCACCCACAGCGGTGCTCGAGGCGGAGCACAGGAACTCCGCCCAGGGGGCTCGAGAGAGGGCTGTTGGAGAGCGGGGGGAGGAGGGGGAGGAGGAGGAGGAGGAGGAGGAGGAGGAGGAGGAGGAGGAGGCAGGAGGAGGCAGGAGGGAGGAGGAGGAGAAGGAGGCAGGAGGGAGGAGAGGAGGAGGAGGAGGAGGAGGAGGAGGAGGAGGAGGAGGAGGAGAACGGCGGAGAGCGGCCGGAGCGCGGGGGAGAGGGAGAGGCCGCGCGCGCGCTCCGCGCGGCACACGAGCGCGTGCGCGCGGCCGCGACGTCCTCGGGCACACCGAGGACGGCCCCTCCCCGCGCCCAGCCACCCGCCGTCGGCGCAAGCCTCTCCCCCTTTTCCTTCCCTCCCAGGACGTGCGCTGTTCTTAGCACTCGCAACTCGCAACTCGCAACTCCTCCTCCTCCTCCCCCTCCTCCTCCTCCTCTTCTTCCTCCTCCTCCGCCTCCTCCTCCTCCTGCCGTTCCTCCTCCTCCTCCTCCTCCTCCGCCTCCTCCTCTCCCCCCGGGAGCTTCGGAAAGAAAGGAACCCTGGCCAACCCCTTCGGCGGACTCGAAAACGGGGTCGGAGGGTCGCGCCGCATCCACCTCCTCCTCCGGCTCCTCCGCCTCCTCCTCCTCCCTTTCCTCCTCCTCCTCCTCCTCCTCCGCCTCCTCCTCTCCCCCCTGGAGCTTCGGAAAGAAAGGAACCCTGGCCACCCCCTTCGGCGGACTCAAAAACGGGTTCGGAGGGTCGCGCCGCACCGCGCGTGCCTCGGCGATGCGGCGCAACCAGAAGTCCGACGTTCTCCGCTCCGACGGCGGCGCATCGGCTTCGGCGGCATCGGTTCTTACAGCAGGGGCTCGACCGCAAGAAGAACTTCCACAAGAAAGCCAAGCCTGAGACCCCAGGACGTCCGTCCATGCGTGGTGTGGGCACGCCACGCTCCCCATCGCCAAACCATCGAAGACCACGAAACCCAGGGCACCCTGGAGGCGAGCGGGGTGCTTCTTGGCATGGGCCCCCACTTTACCCCCCCCCTTCTGCGCGTGGCCGGATGATGGCCCCTCCTGTCCGTACCCGCCTCGATCGCGCGCGCCGAAGGCGGCCAGCTTGGATCCAAGAAATCCGCGCTGAGCGCCAACAGTTTATGTTTGTGTTGTCCTCTCTCTCTTCTCCCACTCTGAGGAGCCCTCCCCCCTCGCCCATGCAGTGGAGGCCAGCCCGCGAGAAACCTTCCACCAGAAACCCAACCCTGAGACTCCAGGACGCCCATCGATGTGAGGGGCAACGATAGGGGGGGGACAGGCATGGGGGGGGGGGATGCATCGACCTGGAATGGGCGATACATCACCGATAGACCGGCGATAGGCCTCCGATAGTGCACCCGCGCCTTCATGGGCCGCTTGGGGCCATCGGGCCCCCATCGGCGATCAATGGGCGATTGGGGGTCGATGCACACCCCCCTGTGCTCATCCCCCCCTATCGTTGCCCCCGAGTCTGGCGTGGGAGCTCTCTCTCCGGTGGGCCCCGTGGGCGTGCCGAGGGCGCTCTGCCACCGCTCGAGCCTCCTGCGCGCCTCCGGCGCGCCGGGCCGGCGCGGGGCCTCTCGCTCCCGAGAGGTGTGCCGAGGGGTGCCCCGCCGTCGCTCCGTGACGCCGCGAGGCTTCCTTGGGCGTCGCTTCGTGCGCGGGGGGATCAGGAACACGCACACGCACACGCACACACGCACACACGCACACGCACACACGCACACGCACACACGCACACGCACACACACACACACGCACACCCCCCCACACACACACACACACACACACACACGCACACGCACACACGCACACGCACACACGCACACGCACACACACGCACACGCACACACACGCACACCCACACACGCACACCCACACACGCACACAGACACACACACACACACGCACACACACACACACGCACGCACACGCACACGCACACGCACACGCACACGCACACGCACACCCACACGCACACACACACACACGCACGCACGCGCACACGCGCACACGCACACACACACACGCACACACACACACGCACACACGCACACACGCACACACACACACACACAAAAAAAAAAAAAACACACACACACGCGAGCACACGCACACACACGTGCTCATATTCCCTGTGTTCTGGACTTTCGGGTTTCCCCCGCATGTTCTGGACTCTCTGGCCCGTTTGAAGCACTACCGGCCACCTGTTTGTCCCCGATTCGAGGATATTCCGCCGTCACTCCATGGCGACGCGGGGATGTCTTCGGCGTCGCTGAATTGGGGGGGCGATGAAAATTAGGAAGGGTAAGAAGAAAGGTGCACTTCTCGGACCCTAAAGGGCCCCGTTTGGGCCCTGAAGGCCCGTTTTGGGCCCCGAAGCGAGGATATTCCGCCGAAAATTCCTGGCGACGCGGGGATGTCCTCGGCGTCGCTGAATGGGGGGGCGATGCATGCAGAGAGCCGGAAATTCATCCCCATAATAAGATAAGCCCCACAACGAGCGCAGCCGTTTGATAAACGCACCCATGCGGGGAATCGAGCATGGCAGGGCTGTGTTTTAAACGCCCAGGGCCGTTCAGCAAACGCCACTTGTCGGGGTCGGATTGGCTTTTCCTGCCCTGAAAGCGGGGGGCGGGGGAGGAGAAAAGGCGCACCTCTCGGCCCTCAGAAAAGGCCCACTCTTGGGGCCCGAAAGGCCCCCGCTTGGGCCCGAACGGGCCCCCATTAGCCTTAGGGGCCCCAGAGGGCCCCTCTTCTGTAGCCCACGCTGCCCCCGAACCCATGTATGAATGGGCCCTGGGTCACGCGAACGAATGGACAAATCTCATAGGACCCCCCATACTTTCTAATATGTTCTGGATGTTTGTCTCTCCCCCCACACTTCCCATATGTTCCCTGATGTTCCTGGGGATCGACGATTACAGAGCGGGCGCTATCGCAAGAAACCCTCGCAAGAAACACAACCCTGAGAACCCGTGCGCGAGGTGCACCTGAGGGGAAACCTGGAGCACCCTGACCGCAGCAGCTCCTTCAACGGCTGGGCGAAGTCACCGCGCAGCGCGGAGAGCGAAGAAACCCAGGATACCCTGACGAAAAGCGCATGGCATCTTGATGCACGCCCCCACTGTAATTGTGTCTGCGCATGGTCTTTCCATCCTGGACGTGACGCACCCACCCGTCCCGCGACGCCCAACAGCGCCGCGGCAGCCTGGCGCGCCCTGGCTGCAGGATGCCGTCCCCCACCCCTCGCTTCCCGCTCCCTCGCCCCCCCTCGCTCCCCGCCCCCGCCCCGCGTGCGCCTCCTCCCCTCTGAAGGGGCCCCAGGACACACAACCAAATACACACAAATAGAACGATTCCCAATATTTTCCGATGTTTTCTGGGTTTCTGTCTTCCCCCCCACTTCCCATAGTTTCCCACATTTTCGAGGGGGAATCGAGGATTCATTGTGTCTGTGTGCTTCTTTTCCTCCTGACCCTCCCCCCGCACCGTTTTTATTCTGCACGGCTTCGGGAGAGCGTCTGGAACACCAGAGGTGCATCCGGGAACAACCAGCCAGCACGACCGGGCGACACGGGCACGCGGACGGTGCCGCCTGCAGCCACGACGGCTCGGCATACCCTGCCGGAGAGGTGCCAGTCTGGCCATCGCTCGGACGTCCATTCCCTGTGTTTTTCGGTTTCGTGCGTGGTTTTTTCGCCGAATGATCAAGGATGCTCCCCGATGGTCCTCGCCGAGAGAAACATGCACACGTCCGAGCGATGCCAAGCAATTGCATGGGCCCCCCCCCACACCCGCCCGTTCGCCACCTCTTTCACAGAGGATGTGTCGACCCCTACCCCAAGCTTTGAGAGGTGTTCGAATGGACCATGCATTTGGGGCCCAACCCTGGGATATACGAGGGGGGGCGCCAGCGCCCATTACTGATCGGGGTGCGTCCGAATAACCACTTTTGGGTGTATCCCAGAGTTTCCATCCTTGTCTGAGGGGCTTCGTTTGTTGTCGAATCGTCGGGGGTCGGTGGAGAAACAGCGCCTGCGACTCTTGGCGGCGCGCAGAAAGGGGGTAGAGGGAGGGGGGAAGGCTTCTAAGAAGGCGTCTAAGAAGGGGGGCTGCTTCTCATAAGGCGCCAGCCTTGCACCTGTAGACAAGGCCCGCGCCTTCCGAGAAGCAAGGGTGCTTCTAAGCATAGGAGGCCACATACGAACCCTACCCCTACCCCCTACGACTTCTGAGGGGGAGGGTGGAGTTCACTTCGTAGAACCCCACCCTCCCCCTCAGAAATCGTAGGGGGTAGGGGTAGGGTTCGCATGTGGCCCCCTGAAGAAGCCCTCCCCCCTCCCCCTACCCCCGCCTGCGCGTGACCGTCCCTCGCTGGTCGGAAGTCCGAGGCCGCCTCGCTTCTGCTCCATACATGGGGCCCCCGGCAGTCCAGCACCCTCCCCGGGACCCGCTTGTCACCCCGAGTCGCTGCCTGACGGTCCAGGGGCCCCGCGAGAGCCCCCAAACTGAAGGGGAAAAGTGATGGGCCTGTTTTCCACCACTACCACCAGAAGTAGGAAGGGGCGGGGGTCCTCCTCCTCCTCCTCCTCCTCCCTCCTCCTCCTCCTCCTCCTCCTCCTCCTCCTCCTCCTCCTCCTCCTCCTCCTCCTCCACCTCCTTCCCCCCATCCAACTTATGGTGGTGGTGGTGGTGGAAAACAGACTCATCAAAAAGAAAGCGGGGACAATAGACCAAGACCGAACGCGAAAACGTCGCGTCAATCTTTTCACCGTCCGCCTTGGTCACCGTTACATCGTCAATGTTTCTTCCCTCGACATACGTTGGAAAACTTGGAAAGTCGCTTCCGCCGTCGCGTCCGCCGTCCCTGGGCTGCCCGGCCGCCCCTGGCCTCGTCCGTGAAGAGCTGGTTTACCAGGCGGTGTCGCTGCAGAGGGCGAATGCCTGGCAGCCGGAGGGAGAAGGGAGGAGGAGGGGGGAGGGGGAGGGAGGCGGAGGGGAGGATGGGGGGGAAGAGGGAGGGAGGGAGGGAGGCGGAGGTGGAAGGCCCTTCCCCGCGGCGCGGCGGCCACGGCCGAGCTCTCCCTGGGCACCCAGCCGCGGGAGGAGGACGTCGGGTGTCACAACAAATATGCCATGAAATTCTGACTGGACTCGAATAGTGAGATTGAAGACCTGGTGACCTGACTCTGACAAAACAAGTACTGCAGTCTTCGATGCCCGAAACTGAGAGAGGAATAAAAACGAGCTCCCGGGCCCCCAACGCGATGTGGAGCTCAGGATGGGGGCCTTGCGCCGTCCTCGGCCTCGCGGGGCCCGCGCCGGGCCTCAGGGTCGTGTGGGGGCTCGAGTGGGGGATCGACTACAGAATGAACTTACCCCAAACTTCACGGCGTCGCCCGATCTACAAAGAGAAAAGGCTACCGAACGTCCCGTACATCTACGGCACATCCAGTCTGCGCATGTCTCGTACATTCGACGAAGCGATCCATTTGGGGTTGAATCCGTTCTGTGGTCGAAGTCCTACTCGAACGGCAAAGCTCCAGGGGGGGGAATATCGACCTGGAATCGGCTGTACATCGCCTATACTATATATGAATACACGCGCTACATGGGGAAACCAGAAGGTACCAATACCGCGATTCACCAGACCTCTCCCTGAGCGCGCGTTCTGAGCAACCTCTCGAGGCGAGCCCGGCGGCGGTGGCGACGGCCTCCCAGGAGGCCCGAAGAGGCGGAAACGAGGAAAAGGTAGCGGTGGCGGCACCTTCTCATCCTCCTCACACTGGAACAGCGCGCGCGCTCTTCGCTCGCGCTTGGGTCCTGGCAGGCCCTCCTCGTAGTCTACAGCGCTCGGCTCCGTCACCAACGCTCGGCTCTCCGGCGGCCGCCGGGGGGGCGCCTCGCGGGGCGGGGCACCCCGAGGCTGCAAGACCCGCCGAGAGCCGACTGAGCCGACGACACGCCCGGAAGCCTCCGGCCTCGTGACTCCGTCTCCCCTGCGCCTCTTCCCACCCAAACTGATGTGCGAATCTTCCACCGCCGCTATCATAGGTCGGAATGGGGAGAAGGGAGGATGGGGAAGTCCTCCTCCTCCTCCAATTCCTCTTCCTCCCCATCCTCCTCCCTATCCTGCCTATGAGGGTTGTGGTGGAACATCGGCCCATCACAAACATTACCACCGACCATGGGCAGTCCTCGGGGATCTACTGCCCCAGGTAAATCCAGACTCGGGTCAGTCGGGCTTTGCAGGACCCTGCAAGGTCCTGCAGGATCCTGCACCGACACCCGGGTCAATGCACCCCTGGCTCTGCAAGATCCTGCAAGATCCGGCGCTCTGACTGACTCCCGTTTGCGCCATCTTTTGAGCCCTGAAGGCCCCCCGCCTCGGATCGTGGCTGGCGCCGCCGGTCGCGTGCGGGCAGGCTCACGAGCGGCGAACCGATCCATATGGACGCAGGGCACCCGGGGAGCAACGTCCCGTGATTATCCGCGGAGTCCAGCCCGCGAGGCCGCGGATACGGATACAGTCGGGCTGCTGAGATGAAGAACGCTAAAGAACGAGATCCCCTTTCTGCTCCAGAAAGAGCCTGGGTGCTCGAGAAATGATCGAGGAAACCAGCCACGAAAGGACCTTCGGAACAGCGAGCTCCTGCCGAACCCAAAGCTGCCCCATTTCAGCGCCTTGACTGTTCTGAAAGCTCTCCGCCCCCCCTCCCACGAAGACCACTGCCTTGTAGGCCCCCACTGTGTTGCAAGGACCCTCGCACGATCTCCTCGCCGAGCATGACGGTACTAAAAAGCCTAAGCTTCGATCTCTGGGGAAACCAAAAGGTACTGATGATGGGCCTGTTTTCCACCACCACCACCATAAGTTGGAGGGGGGAGGTGGAGGACGAGGAGGAGGACGAGGAGGAGGAGGAGGAGGAGGAGGAGGAGGAGGAGGAGGAGGAGGACCCCTCTACCTCCAACTTGTGGTGGTGGCGTTGGAAAAGAAACCCATCAACTGATACCGCTACCCCCCAGACCTCTCCAGGGGTGCGCTCTGACCAGATTTTCGAAGCGAATCCAGCGGTGGCCACGAGGGCCTCCCAGGAGGCCCCCAAAAAGAAAGAAAGGGGAAGGGTAGCGGTAGGGGGACCTCTTCCTCTTCCGGACCTCGGTCACCGTCCATACTGGCCATCGTCAATTCGAGGAACACCCTCGCGAAACGGCGACGGCGGGCATGGGCAACATCGGCCACCACTGGCATGGCCACCCGGAGCCCGAGGGGGGCGCCTTCGAAGGCCTCCGCGACGACCAGCACGTGGAAGTGCGACTCGTCCTCGCGAGGGCGCGCCGCGGGCGGCGTTTTTCCCAGGTCGGGGGCACGCCGCTGGGCAGTGGACGACGAAGCGCAGACACGTAGTAGCGACGCTTGGACTGAACATTATAGTCGAGGGCAGAACATCCACCCCGATAATGACCACCCCGACACGCGATGCCGTTCAGTAAACGCACCCAAAAAAAAAATCAAACAGGGCAGGGCTGTTTAGTAAGCGCCCAAGGCCGTTTAGTAAACGCCAATTGTCCGGTCTGGGTGGTTTTTCCTCCCTTAGTAGAGCAGTCCTCCTCCTGTTGCCATTCATGCCACAAGGTCCGGGAAGGGGAAGGGGAAGCACCCCGAAGCCACACATGCTCAGGGAAGATGGTGGGGAACTCCACTGACACGCTGGGGACCCATGACAGAAGAGCTACAGATCGGCACCAAGAAGGCACGATACACATCAGCCGCAGCGTTTAATCCCGCGGGCGCCGACAAAGCAGCAGCCAAATACAATACCAAAAGCTAAACTCCAAGCTTCACATGATGATTGAGCCAGATCTGTGCCAAGAAGAGGAACGCAACCTTCATTACGTCATACGTGGTGAACTCACAATCCACCCATCCAACCAGCAACCCACGGTCTGTCGCTTGACGTGGGGGAAGCGGATTGCCATGTGTGAGGCGTGCGAGTACACGAAGCTGAATACAGTGCGCTCCATGACTAGGCTGGAGGGCCATGGTGAGGAGCTGAGCAGGCCAGCCACAGCAAAGGCACCGGTAGACTGAAGAAAAACATGACAAGTATGTAAGCCGCCTGTTTGAACAGCACGGCGTGCAAGGCGACGTGGTAGGCCCGTCCTGGGCCTCCTGACTGGCAGGAACATGCTCGCAGTACCCTGGGAAAGAACTTGCCAGTGACGAGCAGGAAAGAAGCAAAGCCCAAGACCAGCCAATCTGCCCGAGAGAACCGCTTTCCGTCTCCCGCCTGCCTTCCCTCCTCCTCCTGCTCCTGCTCCTGCTCCTCCTCCTCCTCCTCCTCCTCCTCCTCCTCCATATCCTCCCCCCTCCTGCAATTCACCCTCCGCAACATCCTCCTCCCCTCCTCGATCCTCTCGATCCTCATCCACCCCATCGGTCTTCTTCCTCCTCCGCCTCCCCCTCCTCCCGGCCCCTCCTCGATCCTCCCCCGTCTCCTCCCCCCCCTTCACCCACCTCGGCCCCGCTCCTGGGCCCGGCCGTGCGACTCGTTCGCCACCTCGAGGTGCAGCGGCTTCAGGGCCTCGCGAACCCGGGCTTCAATGTGCTCCTCGCGGCCCATGTCGCCGCCGCCGTCCGTCGGTCGCCAGTCGTCCGTCGTCGAATGCCGTCCGCCAGCCGTCGTCGGCGTCATCCTTTGGTCGTCGGCCGGTGCCAGCCGTGCGGCGCGTCGTCGTTTGGCGTCTTCAACCTCGTCGTCGCCGTTTTCGTCGTTGACTTTCGTCGTCGGCGTTGACGTGATTCGACGTCGGCGTCGTCATTGACCGTCGCCGCGGTATGCCATCGTGGACGGCGACGCCGGTAACCGTCGTCATCTTATTTCGTCGTCGCCCGCATCATCATCGTCGGGCGGTGCCTTGTCATTGTCTGCCGTCGTCAATGTCCACCGGCCGGTATCTAGGGTCGAGGCGTCTCTGGCTCTGGGGGCCTCAAGACACCTCCAGTCGTCGTCGTACTCAGTCGTGTTCCGTCGTCGTCGTCGGTTGTTTTTGGTTGTCGACCGTCGTCGTCGTTGGTCGCTGAATGTCCGTCGTTGTCGTCGTCGTCAACAGTGTCGCCGTCATACGCGGTCTGTCGGGACGAGAGGAACAGGATGACGAGAAGGAGGAGGAGAAAGAGGAATGATAACAAAAACGCGACGCGAAATGATGATTAATAATGAAGGGTGCGAAGTCGATAGTACACGCGTTCACTATCCAGTGTACGAGGCGGTCATGTGTCAGGCGGTCATGTGTGCGGGCACGGGTAGGGACCCAATCAACACAAACGTCACACGACAACCTTTCTGCACCCAGCGAAGCATAGGTAACCTCACGACCGAATGTGCTGTTCAAACAAATCCACCTAGAACACCACTGAAAAACGACAGAGGGGTCGTACGGGCGAGGTTAGATGCAGCGCAAAAGGTTTTGCCGACCTCCCCCTGTAGAAAGTTAGAGGCAATAGACGCTAAGATGGGTCGCGCCTCAATGTGCACAGCCACTCTAACAACATAATTGCCCGAAGCGGCATCCCCCACCTAGCGTGCTCAACAATCGCCACATCTGGTGCTCCACCAGCATACTCAGCGGAAGCCGCAAGCCTCCCGCTTGCGTGGTTCACAACTCACTTCATACCTGTCCTGGTTGCCCGCGATGTCGGGTGGTACGCTACTCGGACGTCGCATTACCGAACGTAGTCCAGGAGATGCGGACGCCTGATGATTCTATCTTTCGGGTCGCCCGTCTCCATGATGGTGATGTCCCTGCGCCGCACGTTTGGCACTGATGTGTTCTGCTTTGCTCCGCTTGATCGCGCTGCGGTCGTAACTGAACTTGCCGTCAACGATGCTCGAAATATCGGCCAGTGTTTCCCTTCGTCATGGTGTCGGCTCTCATGTCTCTGGTGCCGCACCTGAGTATGTCGTCGATCTCATTTTTGCGGCGCTGTTCTGACGGCCGCCAAACATGACCAGCCATGCCATTCTCCGATGGTGGACGAACAAGATTCATGTACAGGGCCGAGAAGAAGGATGTGCCGTCAACGACCACCTCGGCTGGCACCGCGTAGCCTCCTTCATCTCTCGGCGCCTCTGACCCCCTCGGCTGAGGCAGGTCCGCGTGCGTGTACGCGGCTCCTCTCATACCGTAGCCGGTCTCCTCCTCCCGCTTGATCGACCCGTCGCCGCGTTCGCATAATCGCCCGGCGCACTCCATCGCCAGAAGGCGACGCGCACTTTGATCTCCTGCGTGGCCAGAAACACCAAGTGAAGCTACATCGCCCGACGGATGATCATGAAGGGGCCCAGGGGCGCACCAACAAATACGCACAAATCCAAGGACCCCACACATTTTCCCATATTTGCTGCATTGTCGCTTTCCCCCCCAACCTCCCAAGCTTGTCTGGGGGTCGAGGATGAGGTGTGTCTGTGTTCTTGTTCTCCTCCTGAGATCAGCTTGTTCGTGGCCCTTTGCAGTGCGAGGATGCACGTGGCGACGCTTGCGCGAGCAGGAAGCACACTGCGGCTCCGAGAAAGGAGGCGGCGAGGCCTGGCAGCTGGCCGCCTGCTGGCTCGTCGGCATTCGCCTTGACTGAGGGGGCCCAGGGACACACAAATAAAAATACACAAAAAACTGAATTCCAATGTGTCTCATGTATTTTCAAGGTTTTCGTCTTCCTCCCCTCCGCTTCCCATACTTTCCCATATTTTCCCGGGGTTCCACGATGAATTGTGTCCGTGTGTGTTTTTTCCCCTCCTGAGCATCGGTGTGCCGAACCTGGTCGAGCGTAACCGTTCCATCGGCACTGCACTGCTGGTGCACTTCGCAGTTGGCGAAGTCGCCGCAGTCACCCATCATCTTGGCGAGGACGCTCTCGATGTTGCCGATCAGCCAGTCAGGGGATACAGCAAGCGCGCGAGGGCAGGGACTACAGGGCAGTTTTTTGAATACATAGGATTGTTTAAAGATATAGGATTCTAATACTTGATTAATGTATGAACAAATTGATTCACGAACTCATCGTTTTTTCAATACTAATTCCCTGCATTTTTAATACATGATCCGCACGCGGAGCATGTATTAAAAACGGCACTGTAGGGCAATCAGTGGCCACTGACGAAGGGCACAGAATAGACAAGCGCGATCCACGACTCGCAGAGACTCCTCGCAAATGGCCTGCCTCCGCCGCAGGGGATCCGTCGAAGCGAAAAGCTGCGTTGCTTTGCGTTCGGACGCCTGTGAGTAGGCACTCCGCGAGTAGTGGAGCGCGCTCGGTGAGAAAAGAAGCGGGGGCCATGAGATCTGGGTAGATATCATGGCCCTGGCCACTGTACCCACCCGCCCGAGGCACCACCCCCCTGGACGCCAGGCGGCTTCCTGGTGTCAACTCGGGCCTCCGGCGTCGGCTCGGGATGACCCGGCGGCCCCCAGGAAGCGCGGGCGCAGCGCAGCTGCCGGAAAACGTCCCGAGGCCGGACGTCACCCGGGGGGCGTCGCATGCAGAAACCTCCGGAGAAGCTGAGAGCCCAAGCTGCTAACAAATGTTGCAACGTCGCGAAAAGGCACGACTGGAGCGGTCGAGGAGCGCTCTGCCGCACCTTTCTCTGACTACCTACCAGACCACCCCAACCCAACCCGAAGACCCGAATTTCGGATTGGGGGGGGGATAAGGGTTCCACATGTGTTTTTTCAATGTTTCCCGACCCCCCCCACCCACTGGAAATGGACGGCAAATTGAGGCCTTCGGGTTGGGTTGGGGTGGTTTGGTGGGTGGTGATTTTTCGAACTGGACGAACACTCCGTGGCGATCCCGTGGGGCCAGACATCTCTGGCGCAGACGCCCAATGCGCAACAGGGCGAGTGGCACCGACAGGTCGGTGGGTGGGCCACCCGCGATGGCCCCCGCCCCCAGGCCGCCCTCGACGAAACGAAGGGGAAAACTTGTGAAGGGGCCCTGGGACACACAAATAAACAAGTGGCACGTGTGCCATAGCCCGTGCACGAAAAGGAAGGGGGAGGAGGAGGAGGAGGAGGAGGAGGAGGAGGAGGAGGAGGAGGAGGTGGAGGAGGGGGGAAGAGGGGGCAAGGCATCGCCCTCTGGGCCCAGCAACGGGGCCCGAGTCCCAGGTGGGGAGGGTGGGGGAGGCGGCGTGCGTCGCGACGCGGAATAAAGTGCTCGGAGCGGAGGGAGCACGGGGCGGAGGTCCCACTGGGGCGCTGGGGGCGCGGAGAGGAGGGGGGGTGGTGTGTGCCGCGACGCGGAATAAACTGTCGGGGCGGAGGGGGCACTGGGCGGGGCTTGGGGTAGACGGCCACGGGGCGGGGGTCCAACTGGGGCGCTGGGGCAGGGGGGGAAGGTGGGAGGTGGCGTGCGTCGCGACGCGGAATAAAATTGTCGGGGCGGAGGGGGCACGGGGCGGAGCCCCCACTGGGGCGCTGGGGACGCGGGGAGGGAGGTAGGGGAGGTGGTGTGCGGCGCGACGCGGGATGAAGCGTTAGTGGCGGAAGGGGCAGTGGGCGTGGCCCCCGCTGGGGCGCTGGGGACGCGGGGGGGCTCGGGGCGGAGAACCACGGCGCGGGGGTCCCACTCTGGCGCTGGGGGCGCGGAGGGGGGGGGTGCGACGCGTAATGCAGCGTTCGTGTCGGAGGGGGCAGTGGGCGGGGGCCCCGCTGGGGCGCTGGGGGCGCGGTGGGGCTTGGGGCAAACAGCCACGGCGCGGGGGCCCCACGCTGGCGCTGGGGACGCGGGGGCGGGGGGGGGAGGTGCGACGCGGGATAAAGCGTTCGTGGCGGAGGGGGCAGTGGGCGTGGCCCCCGCTGGGGCGCTGGGGACGCGGCGGGCTCGGGGCGGAAAGCCACGGCGCGGGGGCCTCACACTGGCGCTGGGGGCGCGGGGGGGCGGGGGGGGGCGACGCGGGATAAAGCGTTCGTGGCGGAGGGGGCAGTGGGCGGGGCCCCCGCTGGGGCGCTGGGGACGCGGGGGGGCTTGGGGCAGAGAGCCACGGCGCGGGGGCCCCACTCTGGCGCTGAGGACGCGGGGGGGGGGGGAGCGACGCGAAATAAAATGGCCGGAGCTCTAGACACCCTGTGCAAGAGAATAAATGGTCGGGGCGGAGGGGGCGGTGCGCTGGGCTGGGCTGCTGGGGAGAAGGGGGGGGGGGGCGACGACGACGCCGAAATAAAGTGGTCGGGGCGAAGGGGGCGGCGCGCTGGGCTGCTCGGGAGAGGGGGGTGGGGGGGGGGGGGGGGGGCGACGACGACGCCGAAATAAAGTGGTCGGGCGGAGAGGGCGGCGCGCTGGGCTGCTGGGGAAAAGGACAGGGGGGGGGGGCGACGACGACGCCGAAATAAAGTGGTCGGGGCGGAGGGGGCAGCGCGCTGGGCTGCTGAGGAAAGGGACAGGGGGGGGGGGGGCGACGACGACGCCAAAATAAAGTGGTCGGGGCGGAGGGGGCAGCGCGCTGGGCTGCTGAGAGAGGGAGAGGGGGGGGGGCCGACGACGACGCCGAAATAAAGTCGTCGGGGCGGAGGGGGCGGTGCGCTGGGGTGCTGGGGAGCGACACATAGCGACACATGTCGACACAACGCCGAAATAGGGCGACGACGACGCCGAAATAAAGTGGTCGGGGCGGAGAGGGCGGTGCGCTGGGCTGCTGGGGAAAGCGACACATGTCGACACAACGCCGAAATAGGGCGACGACGACGCCGAAATAAAGTGGTCGGGGCGGAGAGGGCGGTGCGCTGGGCTGCTGGGGAAAAGGACCGGGGGGGGCGACGACGACGCCGAAATAAAGTGGTCGGGGCGGAGGGGGCAGCGCGCTGGGCTGCTGAGGAGAGGGAGAGGGGGGGGGGGGGCGACGACGACGCCGAAATAAAGTCGTCGGGGTGGAGGGGGCTGGGGAGCGACACATAGCGACACATGTCGACACAACGCCGAAATAAAGTGGTCGGGGCGGAGGGGGCAGCGCGCTGGGCTGCTGAGGAGAGGGAGAGGGGGGGGGGGCGACGACGACGCCGAAATAAAGTCGTCGGGGCGGAGGGGGCGGTGCGCTGGGGTGCTGGGGAGCGACACATAGCGACACATGTCGACACAACGCCGAAATAAAGTGGTCGGGGCGGAGGGGGCAGCGCGCTGGGCTGCTGAGGAGAGGGAGAGGGGGGGGGGCGACGACGACGCCGAAATAAAGTCGTCGGGGCGGAGGGGGCGGTGCGCTGGGGTGCTGGGGAGCGACACATAGCGACACATGTCGACACATATCGACATATAGAGACATATATCGACACACACACACACACACACACATCGACGCATAGCGACTCACAGCGACACATAGCGACGCACACATGGAGACGCATAGCGACACACAGCGACACATATAGCGGCACATGAAGGGCACACGGCACACAGCGACACATATAGCGACACATGAAGGGCACAAGGCAGCTGGGGGGGAGCGACGACGACGCCGAAATAAAGTGGTCGGAGCTCTAGACACCCTGTGCAAGAGAATACACACATATTGAAAGATTCCCCATATTTTCCAATATTTTCTGGGTTTTTGTCTTCCCCCCCTCTTCCCATATTTTTGGATATTTTCCTGGGAGTCGACGATGAATTGTGCCTGTGTGTTTTTCCCCTCCTGAACTTGTTCGTAACGCCCGAAATGGGTACGGAAGACATAAGCACGATGCCAAGCAGCAAACGGTGCACCTACGACGGACCGCTGTTCGGCAACCGACCGTCCACCTCAAATAAGAAGGACCCCCCAAAAACACAACTGAATCGGTACACATTCAAGGATTCTCAACCGTGTTGTCCCGCTCCCCCTAAGTTTCCAATACTTTTATATTCTCATGGGAACCATCAATTATCTGTGTCCGTGTCTATTTCTCCCTCCGGACAGATGAATAACATCCGCGGGCACACCGACAACAAACCTTGGTGAAAATTGATAGGACATGATGCCGGTCTCCGTAATTTGGCGGCGCGCACTGGGGGGCATGGGGGAGGGGGGACGGCTTCTTAGAAGGAGGCTACTTCTTGAAAGTGCCCGGCCTCACGTCTACAGAGAAGGCCCGCGCCATCAAAGAAGCAGGGGTGCTTCTAAGGAAGAAGAAGAAACAAAAAACGCCATAAACATAAAATTTCGGCGTTCCGAGCGGATTTCTCTTGGATCTGCGCTGGACCCCCCTCCCTGGCGCGCGGAACGCTCCAATGGCGGCGCCGGAGGCGCCGCTGGGGCGGGGCCAGCTCGGATCCGTGAAAATCCGCGCGTCGCGCAACAAGTTTATGTTTATGGCGTCATTTCTTCTTCGATTATGAGAAGCCTCCACCCCTCCCCCTACCCTTCGGTCAGGCGTGTCCTCCTACAGGCGGATGCTGGACGACCAGCGCAAAATAGTCCAACCATGATCAGACAAATAATTCAGGAATCGTTCCGAAACTATGTTCGGCGGTGGACAAACCTCCCTGTAATAAACCACCCTTAGAAGAAAATAGCCTAGGACCGCAACCGACGGACCTGGACCCGCAACATTGACGGCCGCGACGCCCTCTCGCGAACCGAAAACGGCCAATTCGCTAATCGACGAATCAGGGTAGCAGGTCTATCCATCCCCGATATTTTCTTGACTCTTCTGGAATGTCCGTCCCGCAGGGGGACATGCCCGACCTGACCCTACCCCCCTCTGCGCGTGGCGAGGCGCCGCCGCCGGGGGGGGGCCCAGCGCGGATCTAAGAAATCCGCGCGGAGCACCAAACGTTGGACGCCTTCTCATTCCTTGCATTCGGCGCACACTTCCCTTGTTTCATAGAAGCCTCGGTAGGCAACTCCGATCGTACGCAATTGAGTTTGTCTTCGATCCTGAGAAGCCTCCCCCCTTCCACATACGGTGGAGGCCAGTCCACACGAAACCTTCCACAAGAAACCCAACCCTGAGGCCCCAGGACGTCAATTGATTTCTGGTGTGGGAACGTCACCCTTTCCATAGCCAAACCCTCGAAACTCAAGAAACCCAGGGCACCCTGAAGGCAAGCAGGGTGCTTCTTGGCATGGGCTCCCACTGTATTCTCTTGAGTATTCTTGAATGGCCCTCCTGTAGAGGGACATGCCCGATCTAAACCTATCCCCCCTCCTCAGCGCGTGGCCGAAGAATGGCCCCTCCCATCCGTGCCCACCTCGATCCGTGCCCAGAGAAACCCGCGCGGGGCGCCAAAAGTTTATGTTGATGGCGTTCTCTCCTGTTCGATTCTGGGAAGCCTTCCCCCCTCCCCCATACAATGGAGGCCCGCCCACAAGAAACCGTCCACAAGAGACCCAACCCTGAGACCCCAGGACGTCCATCGATGTTCGACACCCCTTCCATCGACAAAAACAATCAAAATCAAGGGCACCCTGGCGGCGAGCAGGGTGCTTCTTGGCATGGGCACCCACTGTACCCCCCCCCCGTCTTCTGCGCGTGATCGAGCGATGACCCCTCCTCTCCGTGCACGCCTCGAGCGTGCGTGCTGAAGGCGGCCAGCTTGGATCCAAAAAACCCGCGCTGAGCGCCAACAGTCTATGTTTATGGTATGTTATCTTCTTCGGCTCTGAGAAGCCCCCCCCCTCCCCCATAGAGTGGAGGCCCGCCCACAAGAAACCTTCCACAAGAGACCCAACCCTGAGACCCCAGGCCGTCCATCGATGTTTGGCGTGGGAACGCCACCCCCTCCATCGACAAAAACCATCGAAGCCATCAAATCCCAGGGCACCCTGGCGGCGAGCAGGGTGCTTCTTGGCAGGGGTCTCCACTGTAAGCCACCACCCTCCTGCGCGTGGCCAAGCGATGGCCCCTCCTCTCCGTGCCCGCCCCGAGCGCGCGTGCCGAGAGAGGCGGCGGCGGGGCCGCCCGCCTGCACGGGGCCCCGGTACTGCGCGTGCGCCGCGAACGGCCTCGCGATCCCCGGGGGCGGGGCGCGAACAGGATGTGGAGGGGCCCAGGGGCCCAGGGCCACATGTTTCGTGGGGTTCTGGTTCTCCTCCCCGCCGCGCCACGACCCGCGTCCAACCTCCCTCACCTCCTCCCCTCCTCCCTCCGCACCTCCTCATCCCTTCTCGTCCCGTGCAGCCGCACGCATGCACACACTCGCACACACACAGACGCACAGACACACAAATACACACAAACACACACAAGCACACACACACACACACACACGAACAACGCCAATGCACGCCGAGCGTGTTCACTGCATCACACACCCGCGACGTATGCGCCACATACTGGGCACCGCAGGCTCGCGGCATGCGTGACACTTTCTGGGCACCAGGGGGGGTGCGCAGGGGGTGCGGTCTCTATGCCTGGCAGGCTCGCGCGGCACGGCGAGCGTGGCACTTTGTCGACACCAGGGGGGGTGCGCAGGGGGTGCGGTCTCTGTGCGCTGCAGGCGCGCAGTGGGCGACATGTGTGCCACCTTCTCGACATCAGAGGGGGTGCGCAATAGGGGTGCGGTCTCTATGCGTTGCAGGCGCGCAGGGCTCGGCGGGCGTGGCACTTTCTCGACACAAGAGGGGGTGCGCAGGGGGTGCGGTCCCTATGCCTATGCGCTGCAGGCTCGCAGGGCGCGACGGGTGTGGCACCTTCTCGACACCAGAGGGCGTGCGCAGGGGGTGCGGTCTCTATGCGCTGCAGGCGCGCAAGGCACGACATGTGTCGTATTTCCTCGACTGCATGCATATCTGTGTCAGGCTCCCAATGCGCGGCGGGCGTGCCATTTCTCCTGCGCGATAGGAGCTCGCGCGGGTCGGGAAGAAGAAATAGTAGTAGCAGTAGCATGAAAAGCAGCAGTGGTAGTAGCAGTAGCAGTAGAAGGAGTAGGTGTTGTAGTAGTAGAAGAAGTACTAGTAGTAGTCGTCGTCGTAGTAGAAATAGTAAAAGTAATAGTGGTAGTAGTCGTAGTAGTAGTAGTAGTAGTAGTCGTCGTCGTAGTAGTAGTAGTAGTAGTAGTAGTCGTAGTCGTAGTAGTAGTAGTAGTAGCAGTAGTAGTAGTAGTAGTAGTAGTAGTAGTCGTAGTCGTCGTAGTAGTGGTAGTGGTAGTGGTAGTGGTAGTGGTAGTGGTAGTGGTAGTGGTAGTGGTAGTAGTAGTAGTAGTAGTAGTAGTAGTAGTAGTAGTAGTAGTAGAGTAGAGTAGAGTAGTATTCGTCGTCGTGGTATTGGTAGACAGCGTAGTAGCAAAGGTAGAGGTAATAGCAGTAGTAGTAGTAGTAGTAATAGTAGTAGTAGTAGTAGTAACAGTAATAGTAGTAGTAGCAGTAATAGTAGGAGCCGGAGTCGTAGCAGCACTAGTCGTAGTAGTAGTAGTAGTAGTAGTAGTAGTGGTAGTAGTAGTAGTAGTAGTGGCGGTAGTAGTAGTAATAATAGTGGTGGTCGTAGTAGAAGTAGTAGTAGTAGTAGTAGGAGTCGAAGTAGCAATAGTAATAATCGTAATCGTATAGGCGTACGAATGGTAGTGGCCGTAGTTATGCTAGTAGCTGTAGCAGAAGAAATAGTAGCAGCCGTAGTGTAATAGCAGCAGTGATAGTAGTAGTAGTAGTAGTAATAGTAGTAGTAGTAGTCGTAGTATTTCAACAGTAGTAGTAGTAGTAGTAGTAGTAGTAGTAATAGTAGTAGTAGTAGTAGTAGTAGGCGTAGTCGTAGTAGTAGTAGTAGTAATAGTAGTATTAGTAGTAGTAGTAGTAGTAGACGTAGTACTTGTAGTAATAGAAGTCGCAGTCGTAGTCGTAGTAGTAGTAGTAGTAGTCGTCGCCGTAGTAGTAGTACTAGCAGTAAACGTACTAGTAATCGTCATAGTAGTAATACGAATCGTCGAAGTAGTGGTGGTAGTAGTGGTAGCAGTCGTAGTAACAGTAATGGTCGTAGTAGTAGTAGTCGTCGTCGTAGTAGTCGTAGAATCACTCGTCACCGTCGTAGTAGTAGTAGTAGTAGTAGTCGTCGTAGTAATAGCAGTAGTAGTAGTAGTATCAGCAATAGTAGTAGTAGTACTAGTAGTCGTAGTAGTAGTAGCAGTAGTACTAGTAGTAGTAGTCGTAGTAGTAGTAGTAGTAGTAGTAGTCGTAGTCGTAGTAGTAGTAGTAGTAGTAGTAGTAGTAGTAGTAGTAAAGGCCATTACGACCAGTAGTAGTAGTAGTAGTAGCAGTAGTGGTCGCAGTAGTAATAGTAGTAGTGCCCGTCGTAGTCGTAGTAGTCCTCGCCGCAAGCGTCGTAGCCGTAGTCGTAGTAGTCGTAGAAGCAGTAGAAGTAGAAGTAGAAATAGTAGTAATAGTAATAATCGTAGAAGTAGTAGTAATACTCGTAGTACACATGGTATACATATGACACAACATGAATATGTGGGGTTCCGCGGTAGCGTAATTCCATGTGGCCTGGTTTGTCGTTTCCCCCCCCCCCCCACGTGTCCAGATCCTCGGAGTCGACGATTCACTGCACCTGCGGCGAATAGTAGAAGTTGTCGTAGTCATAGTAGTAGTAACAGTAGTAGTAGTAGTAGTAGTAGTAGTAGTAGTAGTAGTAGTAGTAGTAGTAGTAGTAGTGGTAGTAGTAGTAGTGGTAGTAGTAGTAGTAGTAGTAGTAGCAGTAGTAGTAGTAGTACGACTAGTAATCGTAGTAGTAGTAGTAGTAGTAGTAGTAGTCGTAGTCGTAGTATCGGTCGTCATCGTAGTAGTAGTAGTAGTAGTAGCAGTAGTAGTAGTAGTAGGTGTAGTCGTAGTCGTAGTAATACTCGTTGTAGTAGTAGTAGTAGTAGTAGTAGTAAGGGGCTGTCCGACCAGTAGTAGTAGTAGTAGCAGCAGTAGTAGTACTAGTAGCAGTAGTAGTAGTAGCCGTACTAGTAGTAGTAGTAGTAGTAGTAGTAGTAGTAGTAGTAGTAGTAGTAGTAGTAGTAGCAGTATAAGAAGAAGTAGTAGTAGAAGTAGTCATACTACTAGTAGTTGTCGTCGTAGACGTAGTAGCTGTCGTCGCCGTAATCGTAGTCGTAGTCGTAGTAGTAGTAGTAGTAGTAGTAGGTGTAGTAGTAGTAGTGGTAGTAGTAACAGTAGTAGTCGTAGTCGTAGTCGTAGTCGTAGTCATAGTCATAGTAGTAATAGAAATATTATTGTTGTTATGAGTATTAGTATTGTGATGAGTATTACACAGGGCACAATCAGGACATAACATAAATGTGTGGGGTCCCTGGTAGCGTAATTCCAAATGTTCTGGGTGTTCATCTTCCCCCCCCCACGTGTCCAGTTCCGCGGAGTCGACGATTCACTGCACGGATGGCAAATAGGGCGGCACACCCATGTGGACACTGCCGCTGGGGCCTTCGGAGGAGCTCCCCATGGGGCCACGAACCGTGTGAGGAATGCGCCAGAGGGGGGCGGCGCCACAATGTGGACCCTGCCCCTTGGGCCTTCTGTGGGGCTCCCTATGGGGCCACGAACCGTGTGATGGGTGCGCCAAAATGGGGCTGCGCCACCATGTGGACCCTGCCGCTGGGGCCTGTCGGTGGCGCTCACTACGGGGCCACGAACCGTGTGCGGGGTGCACCAAAATAGGGCGGCGCCGCCATGTGGACCCTGCTACGTCGACTTTCAATGGGGCTCCCCATGGGGCCACGAGCCGTGTGATGGGCGGCGCGGACATGTGGACCCTGCCACTAGGGCACTCGGTGGAGCTCCCAATGTGGCCACGAACCGCATGAGGGATGCGCCAAAATGGGGCGGCGCCGCCGGACCCTGCTACTTGGGCCTTCGGTAAAACTCCCTATGGGGCCTCGAACCGTGTGAGGGGTGCGCCAACATGGGGCGGCGCCGCCATGTGAACCCTGCCGCCATGGCCTTCGGTGGAGCTCCCTACGGGGCCACGAAGCGTTGCACTGGGTGCGCCGAAACACAGGCATGTGGAGGACAAAGGCAGGGATGGGACGAGGGAGAAGCAGAGGAGAGGAGGGGGCAGCGAGGAGGAGGGAACGCGGGGCGTTGTCTCTTCAAAACGAAGACCCAGCACCACAAGATGGTTGGGAACCATGGATCGTTCCCCCAATCCTTCGAACGGGCTTCAGGGACCGTGCACAAGGCTCTGGGCGAGGCCACGAGAACACCCTGAGGCTCTCCCCTCCTCTTCCCTCCGCGATTCCTCCTCTTCCAGCCCCCTCCTGCCCCTCCCCCTTGTCCATCTTCCTCACTCCTCTTCATCATCCCTTCTCGTCTTTCCTCCTCCTCCTCCTCCTCCTCCTCCTCCTCACGTCATCATCATCATCATCATCATCATCATCATCATCATCATCATCATCATCATCATCATCATCATCATCCGCATCATCATCATCATCATCATCATCAGCATCATGATCATCAGCACCATCAATATCATCATGAGCATCATCAGCATCAACATCAGCACCAGCACCAGCATCAGCATCATCACCAGCATCAACATCAGCATCATCATCATCAGCATCATCGTCACAATCGTCAACAACATATCAGAGTGAGTATCATCATCATCAGCAGCAGCGTCACCATCATCAGCAGCATCAGCATCAGCATCAGCATCAACAGCAACACCAGCATCAGCATAATCACCATCACCATCACCATCGTCATCATCATCATCAGCATCATCATCATAATCATCGTCATCATCATCAGCAACATCAGCACCATCATCATCATCATCATCATCATCATCATCATCATCATCATCATAATCATCATCATCATCATCAGCATCATCATCATGCTCAGAATCAGGACCACCATCATCATAATCCGTCCTTCTCTCGCTTCTTCCCTCGGCCTCCTCTGCCTCCCTGCATTTTCAGGGCAAGCGGAGGGGTGCACGGCCCCAGGCGGCGCCAGAACTCGCCCTCCCGAGGCTGGAAAACTGGCAGACGTACTCGGCAAATCGATGAAGAGAGAGAGAGAGACAGCCTCAACAGGTCGGCGTTGCGGATAGCTGCGCGTCCGATCCATGGAACCTTTTTGGGCAAACCGTGCTGAAGGGAACGAATTGGATGACCATGGCAAAGGCT